CTTGGAGCAAATAATTTTATGAACTTTGGCATTTCTACCATCAGTAATCGTACATCAGGAGTCTGCAGCGTACAACATGACAAAAAGGTATTTTGGAAGATCATTCTGCTCTAGTAGAAGGAAGGCTTGAATGGGGACAGTACAGAATGGGGGTCAGATGGCCCAGGATGACTTCAAAGTACCATACTTTAAAATTGTATTCAAATTTCCTCTTCACATGCCTGGGGGCGGGGGTGTAGGAATCCAGCTGTCATCAGATTCTCAAAGGAGTTCACAATCCCCCCAAACTTAAGACGCACTGGTTTAGAATCGAGGCTTTTTTTTAAACTATGATTTCAATCATTAAATACTCCCATAAATATTTATATATTGTTACTGTCTAAATTCTGTTCATAATCTATCACCATTAGTTCATAAATCAAGGAGCAATATCACTTAAATATGAAGCTCATCATTAACGATAGGAAATGTAAATTCACATCTCACGTCGTTTCTGATGACAATGAACTGTTCCCATCATATCTAAGAACCTTATATTGAAGCCAATGAACAGCTCCTCTTTGGAGTAAGAAACATGTATCTCATCTTCTTATTTGTGTGTGATTTGGGGGGATTTTTTTGAAGAATCTTGTAAATCCTTTGAAGCCATTGATCTACCGAGTCTTTGTTAAAACTAGGCTGTGTAATCCATAAACTCATTTCACCTTGCTAATGCAAATACATCAAAGTCCTCTGAAAATGGTCCCGAGTAGAGAGAATGCCACTTTTAGTACCTGGGGATGCCTTGTGTGTGTCACCAGACGCTGCATGTGGCCACTGAAAGTGAGGTTACATATCAAATATTAATATATAGGGGCTCTCCATTCAGGTGAGCCATAAAACCAAATTAATATTTGATACATAACATTTTTATTTTTAGTTGAAAATACATATAGGGGCGCCTGTGTGGCTCAGTTGGTTAAGTGTCTGACTCTTGACTTTGGCTCAGGTCATGATCTCATGGGTTTATGGGATCGAGCCCCACGTCAGGCTCTGGGGCAACAGCGTGAAGCCTGCTTGGGATTCTCTGTCTCCCTTCCTCTTTCTCTCTGCCTCTGCTCTGGTCATATTTTTACTCTCTCTCTCTCTCTCTCAAAAATAAATAAATAAACATAAAAAATACATATTTATAGAAGTTCTAGTATATTCCTCCTGTACCTCAATGAACTGTCTTGTGCACCCCACCCTGGAGACCCCGAGTCCAAGAAACGATTCACTGCAAGTAATCCACACATGAGATCAGATGAGCCCATGTACAGACAGATCATCAAGCGTCAGCAGAGGTGCAGAAGGGGATGGAAACCATCAGAGATGAAGGAAGGGGTAAATCTGAGCTTAGGACAGAAAAAGGGTTCCAGGAGACACAAAACAGTAACTGGAAATGGCAAAATTGGGTTGGAAAGTGGTATAGCTCCAATGCTCTACTTCGGATATGCTGTGTCTGGGCTGTTAAGTGAGGAAACAGATCAAGGCCAGCGGCCCCTGGGGACCAGCCAGCCACCTCCCAAGCGTGGGATGGAGCTCCTGACCTCAGCCTGCCTCCCTTCCGGGCAGGAGTTCCGCTCCAAGCTCTGTCCATCCCTGTCAGGGGCTGGAATTCTCCCCAGCCTTTCTCTAGCTGTGAGGTCATTCTGTCCCATGTTCATTGGATGATCAAGGCCGGAATCCAAGTAAAAGAAATTTGGGGCAGAACCACAGGCAAGTCTTGCTCAACGGAGCCGAGTGAGTCACCCCAGCCCACGTGAGCTCCCACGGAGGGCCCTGCGGGCCGGATGACGCCTCCGGAGATAGGTGCTCGTTAACTCTTCCTCCAGCCGGCCCACGGGCCTGCCCAATGAGGCCCCAAACAAAGGCAACGCTGTGCCCAGGATGGGGGTTCCCTGCGGGCCCCACTGTGTCATGCCCCTCCCAGAGCTGCCCTGGCTGCAGGCACTGTGTCACGGACCCTTCCTGAAAGTGGCATCTGTTTCTTTGTGAAGGGCCTCGGCACCGGGCTTGGAGACCGCCCGGAGCAGGAAAATAGGAAAGGCATCGCCGGGGAGGGTTAGGTGGCTGTAGTGGCCCAACCACGGAGAATTCACCTTCTGGGTAGAAACAGGCTCCCGGATGACCACGCAGGAGAGCCAAGGGTCCAGGGCAGAGAGAAAGCCTCAGCTTCTGAGCGAGCCTGGGGCTCAGCCTGATTCTCTATCTCCTTCCGAGGCACCAGGAGAACAGGGGAGACCCTTCAGCTGCCTGATGTCGCCGCCTCTGCCCACCATTCATTCCGGGCCCAGGAGCTGAAGGGACCATTTATCGATTGCCTGTGTCAAGCGCTGAAATACGTCTTTACATGGACGGCCCCACCATGACAAAGCATTTCCACTTAAAGGTTAAAAAACGGATTCCACAGCGACATCACCAGAGCCTTGGAAAAAGTGCATGGACTACGGTCTGGGGGGTCATGACGTCCTACGACGGAGGACCAGCAACCTTGGTTCAGAAGATTCCCAAAAGGGGGGCGCCTGGGTGGCTTAGTCGGTTAAGCATCCGACTTTCGCTTAGGTCACGATCTCGCGGTTCGTGGGTTCGAGCCCCGCGTCGGGCTCTGTGCTGACTGCCGGCCCAGAGCCTGGAGCCTGTTTCAGTCTGTGACTCCCCCTCTCTCTGACCCTCCCCTGCTCATGCTGTCTCTCTCTCTCTCTCCTAGAAATAAATAAAAACATTTAAAAAAAAAAAAAAAAGAAGAAGATTCCTAAAAGATGGCTCTTTCTCAGGAGTGGGGGTAGGGGGTGGGGGTGAGGAGGGAAGGTGGGGGACGAAATTCACCCCAGGCTCTAAGAACAAGCACTATCCAGGGACTGCGCAGAAACACCTCTTGGCCAGTCCAAGGTAGTGAGTCCTCTGTCTCTGGGCAAAAGCCAATTGGGACAATGAAGCAGGAGGGTTGGGAACCAGACTCCATTCTCCAGGTTCAGCCATACGCTCCCAGTATAACTGAACCAGCAGCACATCCAGGCCCCAGTGTGGACAGAAAGCCGAGTGCATCGCGGTCTGTCCCTGCCCTACTGGTGGTCAACAGTCCAAGAGGGAAGAATCTAAGTGCTGGAATAAAAAGTAGCTCAAAGCTCTGGTGAAGAGTGGTGAGGAAAGTAGGGGGAGCCTTGGGGAGCTGGGAAGACTTCCTCTAGAAAGGAGACGTAGGAAGCCGTGATGTGGCTTGGGATGAGGAGTTCCGGGTACCTCAGAAACATGCCTGAGTCCACGTCTGTGTCCTTGGCGGTCACGCCCCAGCCTGCAGCGCAACACCTGTCGGGCAGCCGGTGTGGGCAAACGAATGAGTAAAGAGATGGGGATGCAAACCAGCCTGAGCAAAGACACAGAGTTATCACAATGCATCATGGGCTACGGGACTGGAGGCCGCCTCGGGCGAGGCTGAGTGCACGCAAGAGAGAGTCTCCTCCAACCAGGTTCATGCCACCCAAGGCGTACGGGGTCCTGAGTGGCGTAATACCGCGCAGGAGAATCCATCAACACACACCCCCTCCGCGCCTACAGTGTGTCAGGTGTGTGCAAGGTCTGGGAATAACAGTGAAGAGCAAGGTCATAGCCCTAACAGCTGCCTTGCCTGCCTTGTGCACTCACCCCGCCCAAGTCCACTCAGGTGTCCTGAGCCCCTGGGTCCGGTCCCCGCTCCTGCTGTGCCCTCCCCCCACTGGCTTCCCCGGCCATGCGACCTCATCGACTCCCCTGCTACTGCAGAGTCCCCTTTCTGTCCCTGCTCCATCCAACTTCCAAGTTACTTCAAGAACCCGGACCAGCCTGGTCACAGTCACCTGGTTAGAAATATACCAGAATGTTAACTGTACTTATCTGTGGGGCTCTGGGTGGGGGAGGGACACGGTGACTTCCGCACGGCCACCCCCTCGTTCTTCCCTAGCCCCACTGAAGATCTCCCCCACACCCAAACATGCAAACGTTCAAGTAACTTTTGGACAAGCGCCTTTCTTTTCTAAGGCGGTGCCGACAGCTAAGTGACTGGCATCATTGCCGTGGACAAGAAGGCAATGGCTTTGCAAACCCTTCTCTGATTCTCCAAGTGGAGATTCTTAAAATCCACTTTTTAGGGTGTGGAAGGTAAGGCTCAGGGAAGTTCTGTCCTCTGTCAACAGCTGGGGACATGCAGTGAAGTGGGAAGTCACAGAGGACATGCCCGTGAAGAAGGAGCCGCATACCTCAACTCGGTGATTCTGAACGTGCGGGGAGGCTCTGGAGGCTGGCCAAGGTCACAGCCTAGTAGCTGCGCCCCTGGGCCTGACCCCAGAGCCTGCCTGTTACCCCATCTCATCCGGGCGCCCCTCCCCACCCCCGGCCCTGCACTCCTCTGCCCCCAAACCCTTCTCTGCAACCTCATTCTCCCCGACTCCACTACCAGTGTCGCTGGGCCTCCCGGAGCCTCTGAACCCTTCCTGGTCCCTCGGCCCCTCTACCCACCGGCGCCCCCAGCCCTGTCACCTTGGCGTCCCTGCGCCGGCGACCCCCAACCATCCATCCCAAACCTCCGCTTGTCTCCATGCGCGGCATCCACGAGCGTCCCCGGCCCCCGGTTCCCGCTAGTCCAGCGTGTATCCGCGTCCCCGCGCCCCCGACCCCCTCCGGCGTGTCCCCGCGCCCCCGGCCCCCGCGCCGCCCCCTCCGGCGTGTCCCCGCGCCCCCGGCCCCCCGCGCCGCCCCCTCCGGCGTGCCCCGCGTCCCCGGCCCCCGCGCCGCCCCCCTCCGGCGTGTCCCCGCGCCCCCGGCCCCCGCGCCGCCCCCTCCGGCGTGTCCCCGCGCCCCCGGCCCCCGCGCCGCCCCCTCCGGCGTGTCCCCGCGTCCCCGGCCCCCGCGCCTCCCCCTCCGGCGTGTCCCCGCGTCCCCGGCCCGCGCCCGCTGACGCCATGACGCCGCGGCGGAGGGAGGGGCGGAGCGGGGCCGGCCCGAGAGGGGCGCGAGCGGCGGCAGCGGGCGGCGCGGCCGATGGACATGGGCACGCAGGGCTCGGGGCGCAAGCGGCTCCCCAACCGGGAGCGGCTGACGGCGGAGGACGACGCGCTGAACCAGATCGCGCGCGAGGTGGGCGGCCGGGGGCCCGCGGGGCGGGAGCGGGGGGCGGGGGGCGGGGGCGCAGCCGCGGCGGTCGCGCGGCTGTCGCGCTTCGGTCGGTCGTCTCTGTCCGCCGGCGGCGCGGGCGGGTCCTCGGCCCCCGGGGACGGGCCAGCGACGCCGACCCCTCCCCCACGCCCGGCTCCCCGGGGGCCGCAGTCCCCCTCGGGGAGCGCAGCAGGCGCGGGCGGCTCAGGGCGCCCCCCTTCACCGCCTGGGCCCGCGGGGTCGGGGGGCGAGCGCCCGGCTTTGTCGCGCGGCATCGTGGGGGTGGAGTAGGCCGACCCCGGAGGCCACATGGCCCTGGCAAAACGGCCTGGTTCATGCCTGTGACCATTGGTCATGGATCGTCTGTCACGCAGGTGCAGCTTGGGCATGAGCTCGGGGTCACCGGGAACCTTGTGTCCGGACCGGTCCAGGGCGCCGGGGGGTTTCCTCCAAGTTTCCTGGGCGGTTTATCTGAACCTGGTGATGAGCTCTAAGTGTGAGCCTCCCTGTCCGGAGCCTTTCCCCGCAGGGGGCCAACCTTAGGGTTAAACTAACCAATGACGTTGAAGGTTGCTCAGCAGATTGGCCGCAGCTCCCTGGGCCCCAGTGACAAAGGAGGCTTGATTTTGGTCCCCGCGCCCTTTTGTACCTTGGGAGTTGTGTCCTGTGTGGCTAACTGTAAAGAACGTCTCTGCAGACACAGTTCATCCCTCCTCATGAGTTCCCTTCCACGTGGTGGGTTGTGATGAGCAGTGAGCCTGCACAGCACTGGCCTCGCGCGGGGACGTTCCCAGGCCGTCTGGCCGTGGGCTCTCCTTGTCCCCATCGGCTGTTTACTGAGGTCTACTCTATAACCCGCTCTCCGGCGTCCTCAGTCGCAAGTACTCGATTTGGCGTTCAGGGACACCTGGCCGTCGATCAGTATTTGTTGCATCCTGAAATGGATAAAGACTTTGGATAAAAGGGCTTTCCAGGCAAACTCCTATTCATCCCTTAAAACCCACTGTCGATTTGTGTCCTCTGTGAGACCTCCCAGATCGCCCCGGGCAGAAGTCTCCCCGCCTCCCCCCGGCTCCTCTAGCTCTCGCTCCCTGCGCCCGGTGTGGGCGTCTCTGTGCCTCAGCGTGATTTGTTCACCCTGGAAGAGGTGACATGCAGGCAGGAATACCTTACTCAGCGGTGTATCCCCAGAGCTCCACGTAGACTCAGGCTGTGGTCCGTGCTCCGAAGTGTGTTGCATTAATGAACAAACAAAGGAAGTTCCGGGAACTTAAAGTACATTTGGCTAAATAAAGACATTGGCTAAAAGTAGTAGCTTGAATATAATCCCCACCGCTGTGAGAACAGTCACTTATGCATGTATTTGACGAAAAGACCAAGCAAGTGTTCTCTGGGAGGCCAGAGGGGACGGGTGGCCTTGTCTTTCCGCGGGTGCTTATGGACAAAGGAACAGAAGACTGAGCACCCGCTAAGTCGGCCTGGTACCTGCTGCTTTGGATTGGGAGGAAAGGCTTGGGATGACATCCTTGAGGTCCTGAGGACCGGGAACCCAAGGCCCTGCCCCCCAGCCAGGGAGATGCAGATGGCAGTGACAGATTCAGACTTGAGAGTCAGTCCCGGGCTCTGTGATCCTAGGGACAGGAGTTACTCCACCCCTTTCAGCCTCTGTCTTCTGGTCTCTGAAATGGGGAGAAGAAATCCGCTTTGGCTGGCAGGATGAGAGCCAAGGAGCAGCATACAGGCAGCGAGTAACTAGGTAAATGTGAGATCTACCCACTGGCCTCCCGTGAAAACCATCCACAGATGGGGCTGTCACAAGTGCTGGGTGGCATTATCTGTAATGGTGAGAAGAGCAGGTGCAACATTTTATGTATTGCTACAAATTGAATTTAGTGCCCAACTGTGAAAATTAAAATCACCATTCAAATGGCAAGTAGCTGTTCACCAGGGAGTTCTTGAGCCTTCTTATAAAAATCAACAAAATTGTTCTAAGTTAGGTGCCTTCTCATCTGCTCATCGATTCGGGAGAGTGGGACACAGTGATGGACCTGAAGAGGATTGCCCTCCAAGAGTTGGGTCAGAACGGGGTCTGACCTGTAGATCAATAACTGTAACAGAAGACAGGAAAAGAGCTGATGTTGAAAGGGCGTGCGTGTTGTGCACTGGAAGTTTGGCAAGGAGAGAGTTCCCGTTTATCGGTGGGACTAGGAATGGCAATCAGAGGCGGCTTCCTGGAGGAAATGGCATTTTGAGTTTTTTCTTGAAGGGACGGAAACCCTGACCTGGCCTGGCCTCCGCGAGGAATACCCTGGCTGGGGTGGGGGCTCCTGGCCGGCCCCTCCACTGGCCCCTTCTCTCCACGGCACCTTGCGGCTACAGACGGCCTCGTCTCCAGGCTCCCTTGCCCCCGCGGACTGGCTGCCGTGTTCCCACACTGCCCCCCATGAGCCCACCCCCAGCCTCTCTCCTGGGATCTAGAAGCATCTTCCATGACACATCTCCACGTGGTTCCCTGGCTGTTCCTGAGCCAAACTGTGACCGGGACTGTTGACTCGGCAGCCCACGCCAGTCCCTGTGTGGGCGTGGGGGGTGGGGGGAGTCCTCCCCTGGGACCTGTCAGGCCCATCCTGGAAATGGGGGACGCTGGCTGCCTCTGCAGCATTTGGGGGGGGAGGCAGTGAGGGGGGCTGAATGATAACCGGGGCGTGTTTGAGAAGGTGGACGTGGGCGGGTGTCCAGGAATGTGCCCTCTAGAGAATAAGGAGCATTCTGGGCCGAGTGACCTGAAGCCCCCTGGCGGGGTCGCTGAGCAGGAAGGAGAGTGGCCGGGCAGGGCCGGGTCTGCCCAGGGGCTGGGACCCTCCCGGGTACGTGCGGGAAGCGGAGCCCGCACTCAGTGGAAGTGGACACATTCCTCTTCCCGCAGTGCCGTACGGTTTCACCGCGGCAGGTTTGTGGTAAATGCGGTTGTGACTGTGAAACGCCGCAGCTGCGTCGGCACCAGTAGCTGGTCCCTGACGTGGGGTCCGGGCAAGCTGTTGTCGGGAACGAGGCCCAGCAAGCACTTTGAGACACTCGTGCCGCTGAAGGCGTGGGCGCTGTTTCTCACACCCTGGGGAAAGGTGTGTTGAAAGCAGATGCATTTTCCTCTCCCACCACGTTTGACATTCTGCTAAAGGTGCTGGGTGGCATCCCAGTTTCTCCCCGCGCCCTGCCGCTGCTCTCCCGGGGCCGGAGGCAATCCAGAGCGTTCCTCCCGAAAGGAGAACAGCAGCAGAAAAATTTTAAAAGGAGATCGGGGCGCCTGGGAGGCTGGGTTGGTTGAGTGTCCAACCTCCGCTCAGGTCAGGATCTCGCGGTTCGTGGGTTCGAGCCCCGCGTCGGGCTCTGTGCTGACAGCTCAGGGCCTGGAGCCTGTTTCGGATTCTGTCTCCCTTTCTCTCTGCCCCTCCCCCACTCACGTTCTGTGTGTCTCTCTCTCTCTCTCTCAAAAATAAATAAACATTATATTTTTTAAAATCGCATGCAAGCTGCATTAGCAGTGGACTTGTGGGCCCTTTAACAGAGGCCGTGAGTGAGTCATCCCCCCTGAGGCCGCTCCGCACCCCCTGTGCCTGTCCCTGGGACACAGGACGCCTGGATCCCTCTTCTCTGCGGTGTTGACTCCCTGGCCTGTGAGTGCAGGTCCTGGAGGCTCACAGCTGCCCCTTCACTGGAAAGGTGCCCCTGGCCACACAGGAGTCGCTGTGGGGGAGGGGTGTGCCCCCCCCCCCCCCCCGGGCAGCCTGCAGCTGTTGACCCAGGGGTGTGAGGAGATGAAATGTCCCCTCCCTTGCTTCAAGGTGGAGCTAACTCTGGTCCAGCCCCTGCGGGCCAGGGTGGGGGCGGGGGAAACTCCGCTGAGGCCTCTCCTGCCCCTGTCCCGCCGCCCCCCTCACCCCTCTTCTGCTGCCTCTGCTCCCTGGATATGAACCTGCATACGAACCCCTGCCTCAGGCTCTGCTTCCGGGGACCCCAGCTTAGGGCAACCCCGCGCTGCATTCTGGGTGGTCCTGTAAATAGAGGACATTCTCAGCCTAAATCTCCCTTTCATTTTACTGGCCCGGGCCCCCCTCACCCCTTCCTTCCCCAAGTAGCCGTCCTAAGTCAGCTTGTCTTGAGGGAGGGGGGCTGCCCCTTTTGTCCTCCAGCCTCAAGCCAGGCGGGGGTGGGGCGCACAAGGTCTATTCCAGAACGTCCTGGAAACGGGGCTCAGCCTGCAGCCTCTCCCTCGCCTCCCACCCGGGAGCGGGCCCAGCCAGCCCGACAGCACCCTGGTCCCCGGCCCCGGCGCCCTGCCCTCAGGTGAGGCGGCGCCGAGCCAGCCTTCCCCGCACACGGTCTGTGCTGTGGCCCGTGTCCCGTCATCTGAACTGTGGCCCTCGGGCCTTTTTTCCAGGTGACCTTGGCCCTTCTGAGCTCGGCCTGGAGATACAACTGTTTGGGACGCGGACTGGATGGCGTCCTCCAGCGTTGTCGGTCGTGTGGGACCTGGGACGCGGCCGTGCCTCCGTCTTCCAGGGCGTGGGAAGGGGCGAGGGGGCCCAGCCCCGCACGTTCCGCAGGAAGAGCCCCAAATCCTCACACCCCAGACCCTCCCCGGCCCCTTCCGCCTGAGACGGACACACACATCTCCATGTGTCGCCAGGGGGCACTAGGAATGTGACAAGACAGGCGTCCGAGGGGATTTTTGTCACCGAGTCTGGGCCCTCAGGGGTGCACACTGAGCCTGTGACCTTGGGCTGTCTCGGTGAGTCCCAGCAAGGTGGCTCTGGTTGGACATGGGGTCAGGAGCTCAGCTGCGGACAGTCCTGCGGGCCCCGCCCTCGGCTATTTCTGTCAGAGAGCCAGCTGTCTCCCTCGGCCTTTTCTGGGCGACTCTTGTCATTCACCGGTTTCGTGGTCAGGGCTGAGACTTGCATGAGGGTGACACGCAGAGATGG